TGTGTGTGTATATATATGTGTGTGTGTATATATATGTGTATATGTGTGTGTATATATATGTGTATATATATGTGTGTGTATATATATGTGTATATATATGTGTGTGTGTATATATATGTGTGTGTATATGTGTGTATATATATGTGTGTGTATATATATGTATGTATATGTATGTGTATATATATGTATGTGTGTATATATGTATAATGCTTTACAGTGTGTATCATTTTCCTTTTTCATCTTTGTTGATGCAGTTTGCAGTTCATGATATATGGTGTTAGAGGGAGCTCTCTTCAACATATTAAATCATTTTAAAGTGTATCTGGTGAGCTATTAGGTGGATTGCAACGGACCTTTCTGCAGGCGTTTGTGGTCCCCAGAGGATGAATCCTTTGGTGATCCCTTGACATTCCCCAGCTCCATCATGAGGTTGTTTTGTTGGGGGTTTTAGTGAAAACATATTAACAACTATTCAATGGATTCCCATGACATTTGGTACAGATGTTCATGTCCCCCTCAGGATGACCCATGTAACACTGGTAATCCCGTGACTTTTCATCTAGCGCCATCACCGGGTCACAATTCCAATTTGTCCAGTACTTTAGTTTATTACCAAATACTTCCCATTGCCCTTAACTGTGCTTTGTGCAGAGTGCTAATTAGCAAATGTTAGCATGCTATCAGGCGAAACGACAATGACAAACATGGTTTGTATGATACCTGCTGAAGACCAGCATGTTTACATCATCACTGTGAGCATTTAATAATGCTGACCTTAGCATGTAGCTCAAAGCACCGCTGTGCCTTAGTGTAGCCTCAAAGAGCTGCTTACCAGACCTCTTTCATAACTGACAAATGCTGTTATATCATATGAGATTCCACCGTACTGCAGTTCACTGACAATAACCTGTTTATTCAACTGCATGTTAACGTGCAGCTAAGTCTCTGTTCATCCGTCTGTGTCATGGATGAAACCGGTTATGAAACATATGCAGAGACATTTGGGACATATTTAACGATAGACTAATACTAAATAGTTTTATGACTATTTATGTATGAGTTTTTATGGGAATGCGACGGCCTTAAGGGACGTTTTTTATTCGTAGAGCGGTGACCCTTCTCTGAAAAGCATAAAAATGCAATTTTGTAGGAAACAGCTGGTGTCTCTCAGCTGTATCTGTGAAGTTGGCCGTCTTGTCTGCAATCAAAATAGAAAACAATGAAAAAGTCTTCCCCTCACCAAAGTCAAACGCCATTTCAGGACTTCACATTCTATTTTCAGTTGTATTCCTGGTCTCCACTGTCTGGCAACAATGTTATTTTTCCCATTTATACCACATGGCTGTTCAGTAGGTTAATATTCATCACAGGTTTAATAAGCTATGCAAGGAATTCATAGTCGTGGTGTTGCTTAAGCAGATCAACGTGCATTGGAATATCTGAGCTTGATTTGTTGTGATGCCATGTGTGGAGCTTCACCCTGGATGCCAGCGAAGTAAATGTCAACAGCTTGAGACAGAGCAGTTTCGGGGGGACAAATGAGCAGCGTGTGAGATGTGGAGCAGCAGAGTGGAAAACAAACAATTATTATTAGATTTGAATGTGCTGTCGTCACGCGGGTCCGATGAAGGCTTCTGGCAGCGCTCTGACACGGGGCATCCAGCTGCAGCCTAGAGCGGGGAATGAATGTGAGATTGCAGCTTTGTCGTGTTGAAATGCACAAAGCAGATTGGTAAGACTCCATCCTCTTGTGTTCGCCCATTGCTGCTCCAGACTCGGATTTACACAATCCAGATGAGAACTGAGCTCCTGCCACAACTTTTATTCAGTCCAATTCTCTGAAAGATATATCATCTAAATTGTGTTTATAGATAAATGGTTATTTTCTTGGATAAACTATTGTGAAGGTTGTGGTTTCTATGGTAGCCCAGAGCCTAAGCATTGCCCAATACCTCCAGAGCAGAGCCCCGTGGGAAACAAAGTCTTCCTTATTTGGTGATTATTCCTATTGTTGGTTTGGAGCGTGTCTGTGGTCCCCTTGCCATTCCCACTCATAGTTTATCTCAGACTCAGCATGAGGCGTAACTATCTGCTAATTATCTCTTTAAAGTTGCCCAAACCGCACAACACTCACACGACGCTAATGACTGAATAATGTTTATTGCATAAACACCATTTACAGCTCATTCAAACAGATGCAGCTGGTCTCAGTTTTTGTCTATGTTTCGGGTTTGTCCGTGGTTTTGATTGACGATGCATTTTATTGAATATAAGTGGGAAGAACTCAATCAGTTTTGCAGAATTGCAGCGTGCACCGTAAAAATAAGCTCTGGCATCAGAATGATTGTAACATTTCTTTTATGTGATAAACAGTGATAATTTGTTATTTGTGCTTAAGTGTGATTTTAGAGAAAACAAATGGCAGGACATTGTTTGTCAGCGCTTGATAAACTTTACAAGTGTTTAAATTACAAGAGCGGTTTCACAGCTAAGTTCCTTTTCACTGTTAAATGGAATTTTACAGGGACGTTAAAGTTAAAACAGGTGACAATCTTGTTTTTGCTGATTTCATCTTGCTGCAGTAGACTAAAGTGTACTTCGGGGGCGGGCCAGTACACTGTGACATCATTGTCGGGTGTGGTTACAGATTCAGTATAGCACACTTCTGATTTTTTTTGTTTTTTTTTATTTGATTTTGTTTTTTTCTGTCACTTCACCAATTATTATGTGTAGGTCCATTACATAAATACAACTCAATTTTAATTCCATGTTGTAATGCAACGAAATAGGGTGTGAACATTTATGCAAGGCACTATAAAAGGAGCAACTTATTAAGAGAGCAGGATATTATTTAGCTTGTTCTCTCGTAACAAGAGAATTTAATGGGTGCCATCTTGGAGTCTGACATCCAGTTGTCTTCTGTTTTGGGTATGCGATTTAAATCCTGCACGGGAAAGGCGGACTCCGCCAGTAACACTAAAAACTAGAATAAAGAATCAGTTACATCAGCCATAAATAGTATAACAAATGGGTGTGATATGATGAAAGTATATAGGTTTATAATGGTGTGGTATATTTACCTCAAGAAAATGGGTTACTTGTATCATAGAGGTTGGTTGTACCTGAGCTAACATACGCACTGTTCCCTACACAGCTGTCATCGACCAGCTGTGCTCCACATAAAGAACGTGGCTGCATTGTGTAAAGGGTCCTTTGCCTTGAGTGATCTGAGGGATGCAGTGCTGTAACGAACAGGGTGGCTTAGAGACAGGAAGGGAGTTTAAAAAAAAAAAAAAAGTTAGAAGAGAGTGATTTTTCTCCCTTCTATTCCCATGGGTATTGCAGCAGGGCTTTTCACTCGAGTTGCCACATTTCATTTCCTGCTGTGTGTGTGTGTGTGTGTGTGTGTGTGTGTGTGTGTGTGTGTGTGT